GCATGAACGGGGCTCGAACTCACGGACCGCGAGATCGTGACCTGGCTGAAGTCGGACGCTTAACCGACTGCGCCACCCAGGCGCCCCTTAAATGTGTTATTTTAAGAAAGATATCTTCAAAATATTGGTGGTGAGGATGGGTGAGGAATCATGATTGGTTCACATAAAAAAAATTAATGTCCCATAAGAAGAAGGGATGGAATTGTAGAAGAGGAGCATGTCTGAAAGGACCATGTTGTTTGGAAATACCGTAACAGTTACAAGGTTCATTACTGCTATATTTTGATTCTTTAAAAAACATATTTAAAAAACGTCCTTCCACGTCATCACCCAGTTAAATTATGTAAGTGTGTGTGTGTGTGTGTGTGTGTGTGTGTGTGTAGCTGATGCATATATATATGTTTATACAGGTGATGCAACTTTGTAAATGGTGCTTTCTGATCTAAATATATCTTTGTAGCAATATATGTTTCAAAATGTAAACTTTGTTTAAAACATTGATATGTAAGTGAAATTATATTGCGGCTTTTTAAACTGTTGACTTTTCCTGGCAGGAAGGAATGAAGGCAAAATATTTTTAGGTGTGCTAATATCAATATAAATATTGTGACTCCTAATTATGATAAGATAAAGAATGGATTTTACCCTTTGTCTTTGTAGCGATTGTTCCTGATATAGATGAAATCGCAGCTCAGGCAGAAACGATGTTTGCTGGAAGGTATAGTAACACGTCTGTGGCTTTATCTTGTGAATACGATTTTTGCTTAGAATTTTATTGATACTTTGCTATTGTTTACCTCCCGACATTTATTTAATTTTAGATCCTTTATTGTTGGCAACATAATTTCTGCCAGAAATGAAGCTGCTAATTTACTGTAGAAGAGGAAAGCCTAGCTTTTCTTTTAGGTAGGCCAGGGGGGAAAAGACAAGAGAGATGAGATCAGTGTATTGAACTTTTCCCTGAATTCTTTTTGCTTTTCTTCCCTCAAATAATGACAGCACGCGAATGCCCTTTAAGTCCCCTGGTATCAGTAGCGCTGTGTCTTGCAAAACATCGCTTGCCTGAATCTAAAAAAATTTGAGGCAAGGAAGTAACTTCTTTCAATGTTATCATTAACTATTTGTGAGAAATAAAGCTATTTGCTGCCTGTTGGAAATATCCATGATTAAAGAAAACATGCCTCTGGCATGGCTACCCTCCTTTGTTACTGGGAGCCCCGACGTTTATTGTTTTAAAGTTGCTTCTTTCCTTTTCAGAAATGAAAACTAATAGCAGTAAAAAAGAAAAGTAAAGGAAAAAAAAATGAACCTGAAATGTCTAAACTACAACTTACTGAGTTTCTAGCATTCATTTCTGTTATAGGTTTGCCATGAGAAACTAAACAAATTTCACACTAAGCCCTTTGTTGCATTTTCATTGGTTAGAAAGACAAACAAGAATGAAGAATCAAGGGAACCAAAAAGGATTTTTATCTCTAGTGAACATTTGGTTTAGCTTTGTTTTCATGTTGTTTTGGTGGATTTTGTTGTTGTTATTGTTGCGTTTTCCTATTCAAGTATTTCATTATTCCCGAGAAGAGATAGATAATAAATCAGTGTATGATTTTTCACCTTGAAATAAATGGACCTCTTCCTCCAGTGCGGTCTTGCCCAGTGTCTGAGTATAGCAAAACCCAGAGCAGCTCTGGTGATTGTGTCCACATGTGTGTGTGTGTGGGTGTACGCCCTTGTCCTTCTCCCAGCTGTCACTACCTGTCGTGGAGGGGTCTCTAGGGTTCTGGGGAAAGTCAGCTGTTGCTGTACATCCCTCCTAGTATCTCTTCTCAGTACTAGAGTCGAGATTTTTTTGGATCGATTTAGGTTTCTAGCCTTTGTCTATGTCGAAGTGAGCAACTCATCCTGGTTGGCCTCGTACCTTCCCAGTACGAGCTCTGAAAAGTCTTCTGTTCTGGGAACCCCCCTCCATCTCAGACATATTTGGAGGGTTGGTCACCCCTGCTTTTCGTGGACACATACACAGGCTTTTCTTTGTGCTTTGTTTCTTGATCAGTTACATGAGGGGGGGGAAGAAAAGTGTAAAATTATTTTGCTTTTTATTTTCCAGTTTTTTGGGGAGGAAAGGAATATATAGCTCTGAGAATGTATACATAATTTGAATACCACTTATGAATAGATTTTATGTAAATATAAGCTATTGTAGAATTATTGTTGGTTTTATAGAAAGGAGAAAAATCCAGTTCAACTTGATGATGAAGGAGGCAGGACATTTTTACGGGTCCTCATTCATCTGATCATGCACGACTACCCGCCTCTGCTATCAGGGGCCCTGCAACTACTGTTCAAGCACTTTAGCCAGAGAGCCGAAGTTTTACAGGCATTTAAACAGGTAAGATTGAGTAGCCCCTCAATGGTGCCAGAGCGGAAGCTCTGAAAATGTTGTCTATAACATCCAACCTGACTTCATGGTTGCAGAGTTAATGAGACTGTGAGGCTTTTCCTGGAGATGCTTTCTATTTTTAAAGATAGATGTGGCCTTGTCTTAAGCCAAGACATGATCTATTTTAGAAAGAGTTCCCCACGAGTGATTTTCAGTTAATATCTTTAATGTAAATGACAGGCACAAAGATTTAGGAAGGTGCTGGGGGGTAATACCATATTAGGAATCTTGTTGCCACGGCTATTATTTTGACCCCAGACTTTACTGATAAATTTGGATAGGACAAAATGTATACAGGTGAAAGAAAGGAACTGTTTTGGATAGAATCTTTTTTTTGTCATCTGAATGACATCAATCTTGAGACTATTCATGAATAATACCTAAGTGCTTACATGTGTTTCACTAATATTTATTTTATTTAATAAAGGGCTGATCTTCATTAGGAAGTTTTATAAGAATCTATTAAAATATGAAATAATTCCAAGACTAAACACATAGACATAATAATGCATATATTTGGATATGTCATATAATACACATAAATTATAATAAAATCAAAGTTTATACCATGAGGTTTAGACTGTATCAGAATTTTCTTCCATTTATTTTTGTATTTTTACCTCTTTTCAATCACATAGACTCTTGGAGAAATAAGCTTTAGCAGTGAAACTAGAGTTGAGGTATCTTTTATTTTACATTACTCCTTAGCACTCTGCTAGGACTCACTTTTTAAAAATTTATAATTCTTTATATATTGGCTTAGTGTTCACAGATACCTCCAGGTAAGTTTTCATGCTCAATATACATCTAAAATATCCACAAATATTCTAGAAACATGAAACTTCAACTGAGGAACAGCTTAAAAGACCTGGGATTTTTGGCATAATTGAAATAGGAATGAAGGAATTTCCTTAAGTACATTAAGGATTCAGAATTTTCTGTTTCCAGGTGCAATTGCTGGTGTCCAATCAAGATGTAGATAACTACAAGCAGATCAAGGCGGATCTAGACCAGCTTCGACTCACTGTAGAAAAATCTGAGTTATGGGTTGAGAAGAGCAGCAGCTATGAGAATGGAGAAATGGGTGAAAGTCAAGTAAAAGGTGGTGAAGAGCCAATTGAGGTTCGTTTTCAAGATATTTTTGAAAATAATGATTTTTCAATTTCTTAAGTCATATGCCATCTAGCCAAAGTTGTTCATCAAGAAAAATTTTATTCTGAGTAATACAGCATCAACTTTTTATTTGCCAAATCAGTTAACTCCATACACCTGTATTTTGGAATTAGTTCTCTCCAATTGCTATCACTTCTTAGCTCATTTGCCTACTTTTTCACTCTCTCTCCTTTTCACGATACATCTGACAGTCCAGGAATCAGGACAATAGGATGGAGTGAGATGGACAAAGAAGGAGTGGGTCCTAAGCATAGACTTGAATAAAGAGGTGAAGTTTTGTCACCACCATTCACCGTGGCTATTTACTGCCAACCTGTAAATTATTCCTTTCTTTATTGCATATCCTTATATAATACATAAAAATAGCTAACTGGAACAATCTGCTTTAGTGACAGCATGAAAATAGCAAAATTCTGCATTTGCTCTAAAGAGTGGTAAGATGGTGATTCTAAGTCTTCTGTTGTATAGGTTTTAGTTTTCAGTGGGTTAATTAGTTGCTGTTTTCACATTTCACTAAATACTAAATAACCATCTAAATTTTTTAAAACTGTATTTTAATGGTAACACTTAGCAGACCAATGCCAACATCATAATCGATAAGATATTATTTCTTAAATGCCTATCTAGTGTTTTATTTAGTTGTTTTTTAATCTGTAGGAATGTAGACTATTTAGGTAGGGTTTGCCTACCACAGCTTCTCTGTTTGTTGGAATACCCAAAGTATTGTGTAGTGAAAGGTGAAGATGGAATGGGAAATAATTTGAGTCCTCAACATGTGGAAAGGGAAGTTCCGCTGGTGGGTTCCTTGTCTCAGGACTACTTACCACTAATCTGCACAAAACTTTTGACTGAATCTGTTAGCACCTTTTTCTATGATTTTATAATGTAAGTTACTAGAATGTAGAATTTCTACTCCATATAAATTTCTTTCATGACCAGATTTGTTGTTGTTGTTGAAGTAGAGTTCTTCCATAGCATATTTAAGAAATAAGAGGACATTTCGTATTTATTTAGTACCTGCTATACATCAAGTCTTAAAGCAGACATTTTCATACACGGTATCTCATTTTGTATGTTACAACAAACTTTGGAGAGAGTTAGATCACATTTCTAAGGATGAATCAGCTGGAGCTCAGAAAACCCAAGGATTTCGTCACTATTAGGCAGCTCTGCGTGACTCAGCTGAGATTTTAACTTGGGTCTTTCTGATGGTACATTCCAGGCTCTTTAATGTAAGACTGCGCTTTCTGATATAATATTTAAAGGTAATAAGAGATGTATTATGCTTTCAGAAGGTTGGAATACCTCTTCCTTTTGCAAATACATAATTTGTACATGTTCTAGAGAATAAACATAACGTTGCTTCCCCTTCCAGAACATTGGATTTTTAAAACTAAAGAACAGCTCTAAACCAGAGATAAAAGTATTATGCTCTTTGTAAAAGTTTGCAAAAAATCAGTTAAGAGTATAGGTGAGATGGTCCATGAAAGATGTGAGTCACTGGTCTGAAGTTTAAGTTCCTAATTACTGAAAGAAGTAGAGAAAGACCCTCTATCGTAGTGAATATCCATGGTACCCCTTCTCAGTTTAATAAGCAATGTTTTGATGTAAGAAAGGAGAAGGTGTTTGATTGAGGATGCCTTCGAAATAAAACTGCATTCCGTGTGGGTTATAAATCTATTTTTCTAGGGATTTCAGACGAATATAAGTCAATGAAGCTGGAATTTATTTATTTATTTGTTGAGTACAGGATTTATCAGTTCAGAAAATGGTGATAATTTTAGGCACTTGAAGCAGGAAGTGATTTAATACAAGCAGTTGTATTTTTGAAAAGTCTGGAGGCGTACGCTTCGGAGGCTGCCCCTGGACTATTGATTTCAAGGTCAAACAGTCGTAGCTACGATTCAGAGGTCAAGAAGCTTCTTTGGTTGCTGCCGACACTGCTGCTCCAGCGCCACTGACTCACACCTGAAAAAACATGTGACCAGATAATGGAACACTCCCGTCTATCAGGATTTTCTTCTCAGCCCTTACAGACACAGAAAGATGGCCTTGAATGCATAGGGTATTAAGAGCATGGGTTTTGAGGTCAGATACCCTAGAATTTGCCACCAAGTATACGTGTGACTTTGGGCAACTTATTTTAATTCCCTAAGTGTTTTTTTAATAGTCTATTCAGTGGACACAATAATGGCACTTAGCTCATGGAAATACTGTGAAGATTAAGTGAGCAAGCTGTGCACAAGGCGTGTCAGTGAATAGGACTCCGGTGGGAAAATATAAACAATAAGGTGACATGTTATCTACCAACACGTCAAGAAGTAAGGCTCCAGCTTTAATTCATTCATTTCTCAGTGTGGTAATTATTCACAAATAGACTTAATTTCGAAACTGGTCTTTTCATGGTTGCATCATGGCAGCAGCGTCCTAGACATTATGCCCCTGCGTGACAACACCAGGAAGGGTTATCTATGATTTTCATGCATTTCTGAGTCTCCTGTTTAGCAGCAAGAAAACCTTTTCCAGGCATCCCTTAGTAGGTTCTATCTCATGTCTACTTGACCAAAGCAGGGCCACATGTTTACCTCTAAACCAATGGATTACAAGATTAATTCAGACTAAGTAATAGATGATCCTCAATCTCCAGGATACCCTCCCCTAAATTACAGTGGGAAAGGATAGATACTAGAACAAAAATGAAATCTACTATCAAGAAAGAACAACCGACAGCATCTGCCAAAGTCAGTAGTCAGTGAATGCTTCTTATAATTATTATTGGTTTTTATGTACAGCATATCGTGCTGTTGACTATGATGGATATCGAATTATGAAATCTTAGGGTTAAAATATACTCATAGGGGTATCAAGTCCAATTCCTGTGTGATATTTATTTTCTCTCTGAATACCTCACATGAGATATTTCTTAAAACCAAACCACCCTTCTGTGATGGCAAATTCAGTAGCTCTTGAGGTAGCACATTCTACTGAAATGAACACGTACTTTAAGAAATAGAATATTACCAGTAAGGAGTCCCTGCAGTCCCTCCCCATATCCCAGAAGAAATCATTCTCATGAGTTTATGATTATTCCCTTGCTTTTCTTAATGGTTTTATCACACATATTTGTATTTCTGGAACATGGGGCATTTGGGTGGCTCAGTTGTTTCAGTGTCTGACTCTTGATTTCAGCTCAGGTCATGATCTCATAATCTATGAGTTGGAGCCCTACATGGGGCTCCACACTGGGCATGAAGCCTGCTTGAGATTCTCTTTCTGCCCCTCCCCTTTTCATGCACACACACAAACTCCCTCTCAAAAAATAAATAAATAAAACAAAAAAATATGAAAAATATTTCATTTAGTCTGTTTTGGGTATATTTTTGTCCTCCATCCTTGTTTATATATAGCTGTAACCCATTGATTTTTTTCTAATATATATTAGAATGCGCATTACATTTTATGCACATGTTTGTCTAGTTAACTGTTGGTGGACATTTTCATTCTTTAAAGTTCTAGCGTTTTTAAAGAAAATTTGCTACCAAAAGAAATGCTACTTTGAAAACTTTTGTATGTCACCCGATGCACATGTTTAAGAGACTCTTCCAATTAAAAACTTAGATGTGAGACCTGAAACTATAAAAATCTTACAGGAAAACACAGGCAGTAATTTCTTTGACATTGGCTGTAGATATTTTTCTACATATGTCTCCTAAGACAAGGGAAACAAAAGCAAAAATAAACTACTGGGATTATATCAAAATAAAGGCTTATATTTATTTTTTAAAATGCTTTTATATTTACTTTTATTTTAGACAGAGAGAGAGAGAGAGAGAGAGAGAGAGAGCATGAGCAGGGGAGACGGGCAGAAGGAGAGAGAGAGAATATTAAGTAGGCTCAGTGTAGAGCCCAACATGGTGCTCAATCCCACGACCCTGGGATCATGACCTGAGCTGAAATCAAGAACTCGGACACTCAACCAACTGAGCTACCCAGGTGCCCCCAAATAAAAAGCTTTTAAACAGCACAGGAAACCATCAACAAAACACAAAGGCAACCTACTGAATGGAAAATATTTGCAAATGATATATCTGTTAAGAGGCTAATATCCAAAATACATAAAGAACTTATACAACTCAGCACCAAAAAACTGAATAATCCAATTAAAGGTGGGCAGAGGACCAGGGTGCCTGGGCAGCTAAGTCAGTTGTGCATCTGACTCTTGATTTTGGCTCAGGTCATGATCCCAGGGTCATGGGATTGAACCCCATGTCCAACTTTGTGCTGAGCATGGAGCCTGCTTAAGATTCTCTCTTCCTCTCTCTCTCCATCCCCCCCCCCTTGTCCCTTCCTCCTTCTTGTACTCTTTCTCTCTCTCTAAATAAAAAAGAAATCTACTTAAAAAATGGGCAGAGAACATAAGTAGACATTTTTCCAAAGAAGACATACAGATGAACAGCATGATAAGATGCTCAACATCACTTATCATCAGGGAAATGCAATTTGAAACCACAATGAGATATTGCCTTACATGTGTCAAAATAGCCAAAAATCAAAAAGACAAGAAATAAGTGTTGACAAGGATGTGGAGAAAAAGGAACCCTTGTGAACTGTTGGTAGCAATGTTAATTGGTACAGCCACTGTGGAAAACAGTATGGAGGTTCCTCAAGAAATTAAAAATAAAAATACCATATAATCCAATCATTGCACCAGTGGGTATTTACCCAATGAAAATTAAAACACTAATTCAAAAAGATATATGCAATATATGTACCCTTACTTTTATTGCAGCATTATTTACAGTAGCCATGATGTGGACACAACCTAAGTGTCCATTGATAGATGAATAGATACAAAGATGTGGTGTATGTATGTGTACACACACACACACACACACACACACACACACACACACGAATATTACACAGCCATAAAAAAGAATGAGATTGTG